CTCATCTGTTTTGCCATGTTACATCTGATGGTACATAAATTGATACAATTGTGAGTACGGATTACGGAATTGCCCCTACAAATCTGGGTAAATTTGCTTCAGTTCCCTTACCGAGTGTTTTGCTATTGGATTAATACACACCGGGTAAATTTAATTTACGTGTATGCTAATGCAATGGTAAAAAATCGATGAGAGTAGAGTGTCTCACCGTTAGGCACAAATTTTGTACAAATTCTGACATAATTTTGTGGGCCAAAACCTCTTATCATGTCCTAAATTGCCTTAATTTAGAAAAAAAGAAAAAAAAAAAATCTAGATTTTATTTATATTCATTTTTTATAATTTATTTTTCAAATAAAAAACTTAAAACATCAAGAAATCTTAAAGCACTAATATTTTGAAACTCCAAGAGCCAATAATTACAAATAAGGCCAAAATCTATATATATATAATTGCTGGCATATAGAATTTAATAAAACATTTAATAAAACCTCCATTCATTTTCCCGCTCATTTTTTCAATTAATATAAAACCGTTACATTTTACATTAATGAGATGTAATAATAATTTTAATATAATTTATTCACTACTAACACTAATTGATTACAACTTTACATTAAATAGTATGTGGAAGTTACATACTTATAAAAAAATGTATTGCAATTTTTTTCTTTAAAATACTTTTTCTAAAATAAAATATTTTTGTTCTTTTTAAGCGATTTTTATCTAATAAGTTAATTGGCATGAGTGTCATAATTAAGCACCTTAAAATCACATAAACAAATACTATAACAATGATAAAAATAATTGTAATACTTTTCTAACTAATTAATTGTACGGTCTCTCTAAATTACTAAATTATATTAGCCATTAAAAATTATGGCATCAATATAAAGATTCATACGTAAGTTAAATAAATTATATTTACGTTACACATTTGCATGTAGTCCAAATTTAAAATGTAATACATCAATTATTTAATATAAAATTTGTATATATTGTATACATAAATATAATATATAAATTTTTATTTTTCTTTGTGCATGTGCACAAGATGAATACTAGTAATAATAAATATGCAGATGAGATATTTTAATTATTATGTGATGGACAAGAGCACTAAATTCCAAGCCAGAAATGTAGCTCAAGATATGAACAAATTGTGGGCACTATGAGATATGTGCAAATAAAGTTGTTTGCCCCAAATAAACAAAATTGAAATATACAACAAACAAAATATATAACTTGAATAAATGAAGAGTGTGACTATAAAACGAGTCGACTCGTCATACTTTTAATAAAGAAAAATACATATTTGTATTATAAAATGCTACACCATTGTTTAACTCATTTTTTTAGGATATGAAATTTTAGTTTGAAAGTACGCACATATGTGAAAAATGCTACACCATTGTTTAACTCATTTGCAAGCCTGACAAGTAACGACAATCTTATTATAAAAATATTATGAAAAAACCCTTTGAAAATATGTTAGCTATACACTTCTACCCAATTCTAATTAAATAAATTTCATAAAGTTCCCATTTGAATAAAGTTTGTATATTTGGATTAGTCGGTTTCCATGTGAATCCAGAAATCAGAAGATCCTTGTAAAAAAAAAAAAAAAAAGATTTTCACAGACACACACTCTACAATCAGTGAAAGGGTCAGCTTCCGTATTTGTCTTTGCTTTTTGAATATTATGAGATAGAAAAGTTTGTGTTATTCTTTTTGGAGTCATTCATATCAGGAACCATAAAAGATATACGTGTACGTACTAAAATGATTTCAAATTTTCATTTTTTTAATATATATTATTTTTGTTGATTTTATATATGTTTATTTATATATGTTGTAATATATTAGTAGTTGGTTTTATATAATTTTGCGTTGTAGTAAAGTTATTAATAGGCGTGTCGACTTATCATATATTTACATATTTTTTTTAAATAATTACAAATAACAATAAAATATATACTACGGTTAAAAAATTAATTCTAACTCAAAATTCAATATTTATCTAGCCCAAATTAACTTCTTTCAATATTTTATAATTTAATAGTATTAATCAATTATTTAGACAATTTTCAGTAAAAATATTATTCCCGCAATCACATTTTTTTTTTTTCTAAAAATAAAAATCAATTACAATTATTATTTTACTATTTTTAAATGACATCAACTTTTTTTCATTACATTTTAACTCATATCCACTTACAAACTTAAATCAAATCCAAAATTTCACTCATCTAACTCTTTTTTCGGTCTTAACTCACTTTATTAATCAAACCCAATACAGATAACTCATTTTATTCAATAAATTAAATTCAATTCAAATAATACACTTTATTAATCAATCTTATAAACTCAAAACCAAATCCAAATTTGCACTCAATCAAATTTTTTAAATTATAACTCTCTTTATTCAATAAATCAAATCCAATCAAAATAACTCATTTTATTAAAAAAATTTGACTCATATAAACTAATAAACTCAAAATCAAATCAAAATTTTCTTCCCAATCAGCATTTTTCAATCTTAACTAACTCTATCCGACATAAATAACTCAATTTATTCAATAAATCAGAGTCAACATAAATAATTCACTTTATTATCAATAGACTAAATTCTTTCCAAAAACATTTACTTCGAATAAAACGTCTTTAAAAATTTCCCACTTAAATCTTTATTGCACTTTCAATTTTTTGTTGAAGTAAATGCGCCGCTACAAAATCATCCGCACAATTAGGCACATATTAAATTTGGGAGATTCTACGGTCCGTTACGGAACCATTCCGTCGAAATTTGTAACCATTAGATCAACTATCCATGACGGTAGTGGCGAAACCAGCCGGTCATCTCGGGGAGGGCCCGATTTGCCGCGGCGCACCACCCCCACTCCGGCCATCCCGCGGCGCACCACCCCCGCTCCGACATCGGAAGGGCGCTCAAAGGACTTTTGTGGACGCTCTCAAAAATTTTCGCAGGATATAAATGAATACTCTAGTAATTTTTCTAAAAATCAAACTAAGTCCGGAGTTAAATTGGTATACTTAAACTGAATTGTTTTAACTCGAAAAACACTCGAATTTATACTAATAAAAGTCTCGGACTCAATTATAATAATAATCAAGGATTATACCTCCTTTCGAATAGACGAAAAGCTGAAAATTTGAGAAAACGAAGCCTCGAACGATCGAACTCGTTCTCAACAAATTTGTTCCTTTTGATACTATTTAACGCAGAAATTCAAACTCCCATAATAAATGCTCAGAACTCCGAAAAATGCAAAAATTTGTCCGTATGGAATCGTGCTTGAATTGTCTACACGCTGCAACTCGATTCTCGTTAAACCGAGGTCATACGCAACCTTATGGAACCCCGCAAAACGGCATTTTATTCTTCTATTATGCGCACTCGCCTTCGAGCTTCTCAAAATAAATGCTCGAAACTTCGAAATGTGAAATAAATTTTATGAACGGCTTCTACTGTTCTCATGCTTTCAAGAAAGCACTCCCGCTCATTTTTAGCACGCCTAACAAGGGCCGACGGTTACCCGAAATCTAGACGTGAAAATGACAATAAAATCATCGTCACTGCCATTTTTCTCTCAACTTCGGGCTACCCAAAATAAATGGTTGGGACCTCAAAATCATATATCGATGCAACCAACGCACTCTCCGCTTCCCGTACTTTCATAAAAATATTTTTCGGTAATGATCGACTCGGTTTTTGAGTCCCGTCGGTACACCGCAAGTCGGCTAATTAACCAACTCAAAATATAATAAAAATGAAAAATTATTAAATTCTGCTGCTGTTATAGTTCTCATTGTCCCGAAACGAGGATCCCGTTTCGGGAGGACCCAATTTGTCTTTAAAAAAAACTAGTACAACACCCGTGTATTACACGGGTGCTTGTTAAAAAATTATTCTTAACTTTTAAAATTAATGAAAAACTATATTAAATTTAGTTTATTTTTTACAAAAAATAATATATTACTATATATTTTAGAATGATATGTGTTACTTATGACTTACATGTTTTTATAACTTATATCATATAACTACTTGAAATATAAATATATTAGTTGATAAATAATTTTATTTTTCTAATTAATATTAAAAATAATTTTATTATTGTTATAAAGAT